TCATGGAGGGCGGAGCGAAGACTGAAGGCTTCGTCTGGGACCCGCGAAGACCTGAAGGCTCGTCTGGAACCAAGGAAGACTGGAAGGCCCCGTCCAGAGCCTGTGAAAGATTGAAAGCTCTGGCCAGAGCGAAAGACCTGGGTCCCCGGGTGCCCAGAAGGAAAACCCGGTGCTGGCAGCCAGGGGGAAGGGGAAGGCCCTTTTGCCGAAATCTCTTCATGCAACGGGGCCTCTTAGTAAAATAGATTAATCATCAAAAACTTTGTCCTTCAGGAATGGTTCAAGATAGATTCCATGAATTGCTCCAAAGAATGCCACATATTAGATTCTTTAGAGAAGTACCTTATCATCTTATGACTTTTCTCTGTCATTTTGTTCTACATTTAAAAAAAAAGAGTGGGTTAAATTTGCAAAATATGTTTAACTCTTATCCTATCATATATGTGTGTGTGTGTGTGTATATATATACATATATACATATATATATATATATATATATATATATATATATATGTATATATGTATATATATATATATAAATAAAGCCAGAGACCATAACGCCATAACGACCAGAACGACCGGTCGCTATGACGCCCACTGTGGCCAGCAAACCTGCCCAATTGGGGGGTGGGGCCGGTGGCCAACCTCCCTCGGCTCCTCCCCCCAGCCGGCCCCACCCCTGATCGGCCTTTCCCACCCCAATCGAGGGTGGGGTGGCCGGCAAACCCTCCCCCACCCCCACGCCCTTCCCCCAGCCAGCCCCACCCATGATCACCCCACACCCCAATAGGGGGGGGGCCCGCACAGCCAACCTCCTGCAGCCCCTCCCCCTGGCCAGCCCTGCCCCAATGGGCCCCCACCACCCCATTGGCTGGCAGCCCCTCCTCCCGCCCAACCCTGCCTCCAATGGGGGCCTTAAGCCCAATCGCCCGCAGCCCTCCCCCAGCTAACTCCGCCCTTGGTCGCCCCTCCCCACACCAACCGGGGGTGGGGCTGGCCGGCCAACCTCCCACAGCTCCTCCCCTAGCCGCTGACTCCCAATCGGCCCCCCCACCCCATTTGGGGGTGGGGCCAGCTGGCCAATCGCCCTTGGCCCCCTCCCAACAGCGGGCCCGGCCCTGATCGGGCCCCAATCTGATCGGGGTGAGCTGGCCAACCTCCCGCTGCCGTCTCCTTCCGACAGGCCTGGCCCTGATCTGCCCCAATTGGGGCTGGACCACACCCATGCACAAATTCGTGCACTGGGCTTCTAGTTTATTAATAAGAATGGAGCTCTTTAAAAGTCTTGTTATATTCTACTCCAGCAATTTTCTTTTTTACCAGTATTCAATCTTCACCTGAGGATATGTTTTTATTGATTTGTAGAGAGAGAGAGAGAGAGAGAGAGAGAGAGAGATATCAATTGGTTGACTCTGGTATACACCCCGACCAGGGGTTGAACCTGCAACCTAGGAATATGCCCTAACAGGGAATCAAACCTGCAACCTTTTGGTGAACACGACGATGCTCCAACCAACTGAACCATCCTGCCAGGGATACTCCAGCGATTTTCAACCTTTTTCAACTCATGGCACATATAAATTAATTACTGAAATTCTGAGGCACACCAAAAAATATATTACTTTTTTTGCCAATCTGACAAAAAAAAAAGTTATAATTTTGATTCATTCACACCAGACAACTATTGTTATGTTGGCTGTTGTCGTTTTTTAATTTGACAATCTAAGGGGAACGAGGTCAGGTATTGCATGTTTTAAAAATTTTGTGGCACACCAGGCGATTTTCACTGCTCTACTCTCAGGATTTCTAAAACATGGATGATCATGGGCTAATAAGGTCTATCTCCTCTACTTTTTATTTTGTCTGCTAAAATGCCTGGTGTCTGCTTTTTCCCTGCCCACTCCTCTTCCTTTCCCCCAGCATTATTTTATTGCTAAGTATTATATGTGACCAGATATTCAGGTGAAATATTTAACATAAAATGTTTAAAAATGATTCTCCCAAGCCTTAGCTGGCTTGGCTCAGTGCGGATAAAGCGTCGGCCTGTAGACTGAAGGGTCCCAGGTTCGATTCCAGTCAAGGGCACATGCCCGGGTTGCTGGCTCGATCCCTAGTGGGGGCGAGGGGAGGGGGTGCAGGAGGCAGCCCATCTATGATTATCTCTCATCATTGATGTTTCTATCTCTCCCTCTCTCTTCCTCTCGGAAATCAGTAAAAATATATTACAAAAAAAAAAAAAGATTCTCCCAAATGAATTCCATGTAAATATAACTACGTTCCTGAACATTTAGTGAGCACTTAACACTTAATACATACCATACTGGAGATAGGTGGTGCTCATGGTTGCAAAACAATCTGAATGTACATAATGCTAGGGAACTATACACTTAAAAATGCTAAAATGGCAAGTCCTAGCTGGTTTGGCTCAGTGGATAGAGCGTCCGCCTACGGACCAAAGGGTCCCAGATTCAAGGGCACGCACCTTGGTTGCAGGCTTCTCCCCAGCCTTGGCCCTGGTTGGGGCGCTTGCAGGAGGCAATCAATCGATGTGTTTCTCTCACATTGATGTTTCTCTCTGTCTTTCCCTCTCCCATTCTCTCTAAAAGATCAATGGAAAAAATATTCTTGGGTGAGGATTAACAACAAAAGAAAAGTTAAAATGGTAAATTTGGTTATGTATATTTACCACATCAAAAGAAGCTTTTAAAAAAAGCTATAAAAACAAACAAGAAAATCTTTCAGTAATTAGAAAAATATATAGGTTTTTATTATCTTCAGATGACATGTGCTTTGTGCCCCTCAAAAATGACTTTTAAAGAATTAAAATATTACAACAGGCTGCTAGTTCAGTTTCTTTAATTAAAGGTAAAAATGCTTAATCTGATTATAAATGATAAATGTCTAGTATAGCCTCTATTCATGAAACACAACAAAGATAAGGATTCTTGCCTTGACACATTTCTGTTTCCCGTGTCATATATGTGAATATAAACCAATAGTATTACTTAGCCAGGTGTTATTTACTCTAATTCCGACTCTCATGATAATTCTAGAACTGAATTTAGACTGCAGGATGTGCCTCTATTTTTTTAAAAATATGTTTTTATTGAATTTAGAGAGAAAGGGAGTGAAAAAATATCCATGTGAGAGAGAAATATCCATGTGAGAGATGCTGCCTTCTGCACACCCGCTACTGGGGATGGAGCCCCAACCCATACATGTGTCCTGCAGGAATTCAACAGGTTACCTTTTGGTGCATGGTATGACGCTCAACCAATTGAGCCACACTGTTCAGGGCAGGATGTGCCTCTTTTAAACTGCTCTTCCCCTTTTGGTTTCTAGTTAGTGATTGCCCCCTGATATTTTTTAAAGCTAAATTTTATTTTCAATTTGCTCTTTGTTTGCAACTTTTATAATGACCAAGATATAAAACTAGATAAATTTGTGATTATTTTTTGTTACTGCTCTTCATTCACCTGTTTTCATCAGAATAAAACCTACTGTGGTTTATAATGAGATTGGCAAGAATTTCTCAGCTTAAAAGGAAGATTTGGAGATAATATCCTTGGGATTATGATTGCTTTCTTGCTTGGTGATTTGCTTCCACTTCCTAGGTTTTGAGATAAAGGGCAGGTAAAAAGTCTGCATGCCAAAAGCAGAAGACACTTGGGAATTTTTTCATCATGAACTTTTAAGTTGAAGGAATTTGGCTGGATTACAATATAGGAAATGGATGATTTTGCAGTAAAGTAAGTAGAGCTTGAAATACAGAAGAATGAAAGCTTCTATGTGAAAACATTTTAAGAGGAAAACATTTTTTCTCTTTATGGTTCATTGTGCTCTAGGAAAACACCACCAAGGGAGTGAAACACAGGATGTGATTGCCTCAGACAAAGCAGCAGTAATACCAGTTGCCCATGAACATGAGCACAGCCATGACCACCACACACAGCTGCATGCCTATATTGGTGTTTCCTTGGTACTGGGCTTTGTTTTCATGTTGCTGGTGGACCAGATTGGCAGCTCCCACGTGTATGCTACTGATGGTAAGTGATTCCAAGGCTTTCTGGGCAGTGCATTAAATTTGCAGTCTAGAAAAGCACAAATGCTTGAATAATTTAATGTCACTGGCCTGATTTAGTGCTAAAACTTGTCTTCAGGTTCCTGTGAACATTTTATTCGTTTGGGGGAACTTAGTGAGTTGTGTGAGCATTTTAATCAGTTGGGGGAGGTAGTGAGTTGTGACATGTGACACAAGAGAGTGTTTATTGAGTATTGCCCTGGTTATCTTAAAACTTTCAAGTTTAGTTAAAAGTCTGGGGCAGAGTCTTTTTTTAAAAAAAAAAATACTGTATTTTTTTATTTGGCATATTTCACTCAACATATGTTGGTAATATCCATTTAGTTATATGTAACAGTGGTTCATCAATTTTCTTTTTTTAATTATTTTTTTAAATCTTTATTGTTGGAAGGATTACATATGCCCCTCTCCCCCCCCCCGCCATTGATCCCTTCTAGTTCCAGCCTGCTGACACTCTCCCTACCCTCACCCCCTTATCCCAGGCCTTCATCACCCTATTGTCTGTGTGCATGGGTTATGCATATATGCATACTGGAGCAGAAGTTCTTAAACCTTTTTGTGCCATGGAGCTCAAAAAAGCCTGTGGACCTTTTTTTGGAATAATGTTTTTAATTATGCAAAGCACTAGAGCCCTGGTGCGTGACATTCGTGCACTGAGGCGGGGGGCGGGGGTGTCCCTCAGCCCGCCCTCTCGCAGTCCAGGACCCCTCAGGAGATGTCCGCCTGCTGGCTTAGGCAATCAGACATCCATCTCGCATTCTGGGGCTCCTTGGCTCCTGCCACTGCTGCTGCGCTGGCCAGCCCGGCTTCTGGTTGAGCAGCGCTCCCCCCCGTGGGAGCACACTGACCACCAGGGGGCAGCTCCTGCATTGATTGTCTGCCCCCTGGTGGTCAGTGTGCATCATAGCGACTGGTTTTTCTGCCTTTCGGTCAATTTGCATATTTGGGTTTTATTATGTAAAGCATAGTGCGTAGGGCAGTGATGGCGAACCTATGACACACGTGTCAGAGGTGACACGAGAACTCGTTTTTTTGGTTGATTTTTCTTTGTTAAATGGCATTTAAATATATAAAATAAATATCAAAAATATAAGTCTTTGTTTTATTATGGTTGCAAATATCAAAAAATTTCTGTATGTGACACGGCACCAGAGTTAAGTAAGGGTTTTTCAAAATGCTGACACACTGAGCTCAAAAGGTTCGCCATCACTGGCGTAGGGTTACAGAAAAAAACAATTATATTGAATGATGGTTACCAAAACATTAAAACAAATTTGTGATCTAGTAATATAGGTCTTCCTTATCAATGCATTAAATAATGAGATAATTCATTTAAATCAGAAGCAGGGTTAAGTTTATTTTTTAGGATATCTGTATGACAGCTACTACTGTTGCTTAGCTTGACTAAAAACATTAAATTGTGAGATGGGCTTTATCAAGGCAATATGAGTGTTAAGTTGAACATCCAGTTATTTGGGTGTTTGTTTTTATGGTCACTAGTTTAAAAAGTCCTGATTCACAAAGATATTTTCTTACAAATATATGTAGGCACATTGGTAGCTTGCTTATCAAGGAAAGATAAGCTTCTTTCAAGAACAACTAGAATTCTCTTAAGACTTTTAAAATGTAACTCCAGTCATAGTAACTTTTTTGTCTTAAGATCACTGAATTCATCTTTGGTGAAGTCAACAACATCTTTGATCGGTGATACAACCTTGAAAGTATCATAATAAAAATAAACTTGAAAGAGTTGTAATAGACATAGGAGTTTACAGATATCTCTTTTCAAATACATTGACAGAGAATTTTGCAGATAGGAACTGCTGGAAAGCAGCGTAGATATTTTGGTCCCTAGTGGGCAGCGATCCCATGACTTTTACCATTTGGCGGCTGAATGACTGTTAGGTGCAGAGATGCCTGATAGTTGCCCAGCTCTGTCACATGAGCATCTACAGACAGGAAGACTAATCATGCTTAATTTAAAGTAGTGATGAGTGAGAGCAATAATATCAAGATATCTACAACTGTAAAGTAATATGAAATTCTGGTTCTGGCAAAATATAAATAGTGCAAATATTATTTGTGGTTTATTGTCTACATTCATAATTAAAGGAAATGCTGATTTTTAATTAAAGGTTAGTAAAAATAAAAATGCATTTTTTTTCAAGGTAAGGTCACAGTCACCCCTGCGTTCTACCTGTGTTCTCCTCTGTGGACCCCAGGTTAAGAATCCTTGGCCTAAAAAGAACTGTAGAAAATCAGGCCAACAGATAGTTCATAAAAATGGTCCTTAAGCATATGAAGAGATATTCTTCACTTTCACTTAAAATAAGAACAATGCAAATCAAAACTCTGCTGAGATACCATTTTTCACCTGTCAGGCAAGAACTTAAAAGCTTGACAATACACTTTATTGGCAAAGCTATGGTGAAACAGAGGCTCTCATCTATTGCTGTGGGAATGCAAAATGGCACAGTCCTTGTGAGGGGGAATTTGGCAATATTTAAGAAAACTACATATGTAGTTACTCAAAAATCCCACTTTAGTAATTTATTCCAATAATATGGCTCCAGTATGAAAATATTTATGTACAAGGTTATTCCATGCAGGACTATTTATTATTGTAAAACCACATAAATGTCTAATAATGGAGATTGGTTGAATGAAGTGTGGTGTGTACATATAATGGAGTTCTGTGTAACTATGAAAAAGAATGAGGAATCAGATCTCTGAACTGATAGGGAGAGATTTCTAGGAGATATTATTAAGTGAATAAAAAAGCAAAAATGTAAATTCCCTTCTATCATATACTATATTTTGTGTAAGAAAGAAGGGAAAACAAGAATATATGTATTTATTTTTTTTAAAAAAGGAAACGTAGGATCAGCTAGAAAACATAGTTGGTTCCCTGTAAGGGATCGAGTAGGATGGGAGGGCATGATGGGACAGAATGGTTTCAGGAAGGTGTGACACTTCCTGGGCATGCCTTTTGACTTTTGGGAACATGTTAATATTCTCCATATTAGAAAAATAAAATGAAATCATACACACACACACAGTGTCCCCCCAAAAGGTATACACACTTTGAATGATTATGTCAGTGTTTGTTAACATACAGTTCGTTTTTAAAATTTAAAAGAATCTACAGAAATGAAAAATATTTTAGTCAATGCCTGTTTTCAGGCACTGGTCCAGGAACTGCTGATAACTCGAAGCAATGAAATTGCAAACATCAAGAATCATTTCATTTGGTATTTGTGTGCCCTCAATTCATCAACTATTGTTGGTTTTATACCGTAAACTTTATCTTTCATTTATCCTAGTGGCACATTAGGATAAATTTTCTTTGTTCAGAGCTAAATCTGGCTTCACCCATTATTTCAAATCAGTTAAACCTGAAACGGAGTGAAAATTGAGTTATCAGCTTTAAAGTGTGTATACATTTTTGGGGAATATATATATATATATATATATATATATATATATATCCATTACACGAAGATTCACGCAATAAGCTTTCCTTCCCCTGGCTGCTGGCACCGGTTTTCCTCCGGCACCCAGGACCCAGGCCTTTGGTCCGGTCACAGCGGAGAAGCCAAGCCTCTTCAGTCTTCAGTCTTCACTCCTTGCCTGTGTATGCAAATTAACCGCCATCTTTGTTGGGTTAATTTGCATAGTCACTGATTGGCTGGTGGGTGTAGCGGAGTGACACCAATTTGCATGTTTCTCTTTTATTAGTGTAGATGTTTATGTACATGTATGTATGTGTCTCCTAGCTCTGTCTGCAGGAGGGCCTAGAAAGAAAGATACCCCAATAGCAATGAGCATATTAGGGCTTTTCAGAGAAATGGCTAATTCCAGGACAGGGGCAAGGTAGCCACAAAATGAGCTTGGGACATCTAAGGGTCAAAAAAAGCAGGAAGAAAGAAGTTGGAAACATGTCACAGGATGTATTATGAACCAGCTTGAAGGGGCTCCCACTGGCCAGATATAAGACAATCAGAGCACCAAAATGATTAAGAATAGTAATGAAATGTAAAGCATTGAAAAAATGGGGATCGATGAGCCCATCTGAGGGGTGGAGGGGGTAGGTTAGTAGGTCAGGTAGGGGATGGGGGAGGTAGGAGAAAGGAAATAGAAGGAGAAGGGAGGGTACTTACTCACAGTGGAATGCTGGATGCCAACTGGTAAATGTAGAAAGAATGCTGGAGTTGGAAAATTATCATTTTTGCAGCCTTCATAGTAAAAATTGTCTCAGGCAAGTATCATCAATGAATGTTAAATCTAGGGGGGCGGTAAATTTATTTTTTACATATATTTTTATTGATTTCAGAGAGGAAGGGAGAGGGAGAGAGAGATAGAAACATCAATGATGAGAGAGAATCATCAATCAGTTGCCTCCTGCTTGTCCCCTTCTGGAGATCGAGCCCACAACACAGGCATGTGCCCTTGACCCTTCAGTTTGCAGGCTCATGCTCTATCTACTGAGCCAAACTGGCTAGGGCACGGAGGGTAAATTTTGATTTGCTTTTTAGTTGCAAGGGGGAAAGAAGTAACTAAATGAGGAAATTAGACAATTCCTTGACTAGATGATCAAAATTAATGGCATTGCTCTTGGTGTAAGCAAGTAAGTTCCTATCAGACCAACCTCCCTACAGATAACTAAACTCTGGACTAAATTTAAAAAACAACTATCCAAAGACACAGGAGAATGACCTAAAGCAGGCAAATTCTGACTCCCTAGTCAACACTTGAAACTAGGTGAGTTCCTGTTTTTACTGCATTTAGCAGACATCAGCTGCTGGGAGGGTCAAATGAAGACTTCCCTCTTATCCACCTCTTCAGGACAGGCGAAACTTCTAAGTGTTTGAAGCAGAAGACAAAAGAGAGTAGTGAGAAAAATAATCTACTTTAAGAGCTTTCAAAGGATTCATCTACCTCCGGGTTAGGGGGCATCTAATGGTTTTTGTTTCACATTGCTTAATGGCTGCCTTGCTTATTTTTACCTCAGATCCAGAAGCAGCAAGGCCTAGCAATTCCAAAATCACCACCACGCTGGGTCTGGTCGTCCATGCTGCAGGTAGGGAACCCTTTTCTTTTCTGTTGCATAGTGGGAGACTTAGTGTTTATATCACAGGGACCATCCACATGAACCACTCTTGGGCTGGCCTTCAGGGAAAGGGTTACCTAATGAAGCCCCCCCCACACAAGCACAAGCCCTGGTGTACTCAGTGTCAGGTCTATAACTTAAAAGTGTTTTTTCTAATTTTTTAATAGTTAAGAAAAATATTATTTCATGGCACATGAAAATTACATAAAATTCAAATTTCAGTGTCCATACATAAGTTTTATTGGAACAAAGCCATATTATCTATCTATGGCTGCTTTTGTACAATAATGGTGGAGTGAAGTAGTTGCAAGAGACCAAATGGCCCACAAAGCCTAAAATATTTCCTATCTCACCCTTTACGAAAAGTTTGCTGATCTTTGCTCAAGAATGTCATCTTGAAAGAGCCCCAGCACTTTTATACTGAACAGCGCTGCTGCCCAGTATATGCCCAAAGTGTCAGTTTATCAGCAGTGGGCTGTAGAGTGCAGAAGTCTCAGCATTGCTGACTGGGCATGCCTTAGAATCATAACCCAAAACCGATCCCATGGTAGGATTCTGTCAGTGACAAACAGAGACTGGAAGGTGGCACACTATTATCTGGACTTTTCTAGTACCACATGCTTTTTTAACAAAAACTCTATCCATTCAACCAACATTTACTCATTATGTATATACCAACTATGCAGAGTCTTGTGTCTTTATTTTGTTTTTGGATCTGCAAGATGCAGAGATGCTTCCTTTGAAATGCTTTGATATTTATGTTATTACAATTTGATTATCATTGCATTTTTAAAAATTGATTTGAGAGAGAAAGAAACACTGATTTGTTGTTCCACTCACATCATGCATTTATTGATTAATTCTTGTATGTGCCTTGACTGGGGATTGAACCTGCAACCTTGGTGTGTCAGGATGACACTCTAATCAACTGAACTACCTGGCCAGGGCTTATCAGTGGATTTTTTGAGTATCATACTTTTTCCAATAACATCAACAGTAATAGCTGACATATCAAATATTGTGGGCCAGGTACTAAGCTCTTTATTTATTTTTTATTTTTATTTTTTTAAAAATATATTTTATTGATTTTTACAGAGAGGAAGGGAGAGGGATAGAGAGTTAGAAATATCGATGAGAGAGAAACATTAATCAGCTGCCTCCTGCACAGCCCCTACTGGGGATGTGCCCGCAAGCAAGGTACATGCCTTTGGCCAGAATCGAACCCGGGACCCTCAGTCCGCAGGCCAACGCTCTATCCACTGAGCCAAACCGGTTAGGGTGGTGCTAAGCTCTTTACATATGTTATCTCATTTAACCCTCATGAAAACCCTAAGAATATATACTTTATTGAACCCATTTTAGAGATGAGAAGGCTAAGGTTTAGAAAAGTTAAATGAACTTTAGAGTTAAATCCAGCTCTACTTGACTCTGCAGCCCACACAGTCAATCACTACATTGTATAGTTGTTGTTGATATTTATAGTTGTTGTTACATATAGTGCTTTATGTTTTGCTTTTTTCAAATTTAGCTGATGGTGTTGCATTGGGAGCAGCAGCTTCTACTTCACAGACTAGTGTCCAGTTAATTGTGTTTGTGGCAATAATGCTACATAAGGTAAGCAAAATTTTGGTGTAAGATTTACTATTGAATATATTCATAATTAAAATTTCTCTTTGGTCATAATGTTTTTCTGGAATGGGAAATTTTTTTAGTTATTTTCATGATTGCAGTTCATTCTAGAGAATTGAATAAATCTGTCCTAGCTGTTTTTTTGCTATTATTTTCTTAAATTTTCACTTGAAGGGGTTTTATTTGTATTTATTTATTTGTATTTTTAAAATATTTTTAATTGATTTTTTGGATAGAGAGTAAAGGACGAGAGAGGGAGAGAGAGATAGAAACATCGATGAGAGAGAAACATCAATTGGTTGCCTCATGCACACCCCCTGCTGGGGATCAAGCTTGCAATCCAGGCATGTGCACTGACTGGGAATTGAACTGGGGCATGGGAAGACACTCAACCTGCTGAGCCATACCAGCTGGGCAAAAGGGTTTTATTTATTGTGGTTTTACACAAACTGTTAAATTCTCTCTAAATTTCTATATTTTATAGTAATTTTGGTTTATAAATATTTTTTCTTGTACTTTCTTCTTGACTATTTCTCTTTTTCTGCTATCCAAAAACATGCATACACACACACACACGCACACATGCGCACACACACAAATATGATATTTTCTTAGGTTAGAACATTAATTCCTAAAAGGCATTGATTTTTTTTTTTTTTGTATGAAAATTGAGTCAAATGAAACGTACTTCTTCATGTAGAAGCAGTCCATACTTCGGGAGTAATAAGGGGCAAATTTTCTTTTCCAGGCACCAGCTGCTTTTGGGCTGGTTTCGTTCTTAATGCATGCTGGCCTAGAGCGGAATCGAATCAGAAAGCACTTACTGGTCTTTGCACTGGCAGCACCAGTTATGTCCATGGTGACATTCCTAGGACTAAGTAAGGTAAGTCTAACTCATTCCTATTCTTTCGTTATGTACTAGAACTTACGGTCTCTTACATTGAATTTTTAATTAAATTAGTCCCTCAAACTAAAGATACAATTAGGCCCTGGCCAGTGTGGCTCAGTTGGTTGGAGTGTTGTCCTGTACACCAAAGGTTGTGAGTTTGATTCCCGATCAGGGCACATATCCCAGGTTGCATATATCCCATTCCAGGGGCATATGGGAAGCAACCGATCGATTTTTCTCTCTCACATCGATGTTTCCCTCTCTCTCTCCCTACCTCTCTCTACAAAATCAATAAAAGAAAAAGGGAAAGAAAGAAAGATAAAATTGGGAGTAAAAACCTGTACAAGGTAAATGTCTTAATTTCAAATCTCTTCATAAATTTAGAGCATTTCCTTAATTCATTTAATTTGAAAACATTTTTCCCATAAGTTCCAAAAATATTTGCACAAATATACGACCTATATGACCTATAAAATAATATAACTTAAACTTAACCAGACATGCTAATTTTATTTGACAGATACATAATAAATCACAATGCATACTTAATGTTTAAGTAGGCACATGAAGTGTGAGTGACAAGCATGCAGCATCTTTGAGAAGAGTAGGGGATGAGCAGAGATGTCTACATTCAGCTAAGACTCAGATTCTTCTACTCCCAGCTCTCATACCACTGAATATCAAATATCTAGTTCCTTGGGATCTAAGAAACTAAATGAACAAATAAGATAAAAACAGACTCATAGAAACAGCTCAAGCTGATGGATGCCAGAGGAGAGGGGAGTGGGGGGGATGGTTGAAAAAGGTGACGGAGAATATGAAGTCAATAATAATGTGATCAGTTTGCATGGTGACAGATGATTACTAGACTTGGTGAGGCAATTACATTTGTAAGGTATATAAATGTTGAATCACTATATTGTACACCTGAAACTAATACAATATTATATACCAATGATACATAATCCTCCTATATAATAAAAGGGTAATATGCAAATTGTCCCCTTGACTGGGAGTTCAACCCAAGTTTAACAAGGGGGCGGGGTGGGGCCAGCCCAACCGCCTGGGGCCCCTCCCCCTGGCTGGCCCCGCCCCTGATCTGCCCCCCACTCCCCAATCAGGGGCGGGGCCTGCCAGCCAACCTCCTGCATCCCTAACCCCTCCCCGCCCTTGCCCCAGCCCTGATCGGAGCAGGCTGGCCAGACCCCACCTGTGCATAAATTTGTGCACTGGGCCCCTAGTAAATAAATATCCAGTTCTTTATCACCTGAATTGGCATGAGTCATTTGTCAGCTCAGACCCTGTTGTTCAAGATGGACCTTCCCATGCCTTATAATCCTGCCTATTAGGGCTGTAGTTCTTAGCGGCAAACCTCCCCATTTTAGTGAAATGTCAACTGTCAGGCAATAGGAGAAAATTTTAGAACCAAACTGACTCAGGGCTGGTTCATGGGAACTGCTTTCCCCCCTACACTCTCTGAAGGTCATTGAGTCTTCTGAGTATCATTCAATTCATACTTGACATAATAAAACTTGTATTAAAAGGAACATGAGAAATGAGATGGTTAAAGAGTGGTTAAGCTCCTGTTAATCAAGAATTTGTTGGTCTGGATGGAGTGCCATCAAATGAGGTGCTATAAAGCCCCTTTTAGTTCACCTGAAGAGCTTTTTTTCAGTCCATGAACAATATATAGTTCCTTTTAAAATACTGTAGTACCCTATTTATCACTTCATTGATGAGTGTAAGTTTTTAGAACTTTTGACAGGAATGTAGGATAATTCTGGAGGCATGGAGTTATATTTATGGCATGATCTTTTCTTAAAATTTTATTTATTTTTAAAAAATATATTTTACTGATTTTTTACAGAGAGGAAGGGAGAGGGATAGAAAGTTAGAAACATCAATGAGAGAGAAACACCGATCAGCTGCCTCCTGCACACCTCCCACTGGGGATGTGCCCACAACCAAGGTACATGCCCTTGACTGGAATCGAACCTGGGACCTTTCAGTCCGCAGGCCGACGCTCTATCCACTGAGCCAAACCAGTTAGGGCTTTTCTTAAAATTTTAATTGTCTCAGTCCATAGGTCCACTTTTTAAATAGAAAAGCTAAAATTAGCTTATGAGATGTTTCTAGGCTCTGTGAGGGCAGGTATACATTTTGATTGCCACTGTATCTCAAGTACCTGGCCTACTGCCTGGTACATAGGCAGTATTTGTTAAATATTAGTAAATGAAATAGAGTGTATGAAATTTAATATCTGTATTAATAATGCTGTTGATTCCATCTTATGAATAATACAGGCTAACCATGTTCAACCAGGCTTGGAGTTTGTACATTACCAATAGCCTTAAAACCTTATTTGGAAGCTTCCCATAAATAACGTAAAATTGCTCTCATCTCAAGATGTCCCCAGATAGCACTAGTCATGAATATTGAGTGGTTTTTCATTGGGACTTCTTCCTGACCCTGAACTAGACTTGACTTAATTTTTCTTCTCTCTCTTTCTGAATTCACAGAGCAGTAAAGAAGCCCTTTCAGAGGTCAATGCCACTGGAGTGGCCATGCTTTTCTCTGCCGGGACATTTCTTTATGTTGCCACAGTACATGTCCTCCCTGAGGTGGGCGGAATGGGGCACAGTCACAAATCTGATGCCACTGGAGGGAAAGGCCTCAGCCGCCTGGAGGTGGCAGCCCTGGTTCTGGGTTGCATCATCCCACTCATCCTGTCAGTAGGACACCAGCATTAAATGTTCAAGTTCCAGCCTCAGTCCACGGCCGTTTGCCATCCAGTGAGAACAGCCGACAGAACAGCTGCTCACTTTCTCAGTCTCTTGTCTCACCTTGCCCATCTCCACCTGTATTCCTAGAGTCTGGAGGGAGGTGAGATTAAAACCTGGAGTAATGGAAAGCTTTTAGAATAGAAACAACACATTGCAAGTGGATATAGACATTCCATTGTGTTGTCTTTTAAAAGGCCCTGGGCATTTTGAGTTTTGATGTTTCTCTTAACCCTATTCTCAGGGAAGATGGAATGCAGTTCTAAGGAAAAGTCTCCACAATGAAATAGTAATTATGACAGTACAGTGTTCTGTAATTAAGCGAAATCTCTTAATTTAGAGGCTCTGCCACTTTATGCATTGATTTTTAAGATGGGTCTCACCGTGGAAAATTGGTGCTTTAGCATCTATGCCACATGCCTTGATAGAAGGTCATAATGCCTGCTGTCTTAGATGCTAAAGATAACTGTAGTTAATTTGGGGCTCGAGTCAAAAAAATGATGGCAAGACACATTGAAAGTTGACTTTATACTCAAGAGCTGTCCCCTGCAAAGGGGCTGTCCGAGGACTTTAACTTCCTTCTGCAGGTGCCTCTTTGAAGAGAGCCTGCCATAGAGCAACAGCAGTGGACTGGCTTCTAAAGAGGTGACTCGTACTTAGTAGCATTTCTTTTCAAGTTCTCCTTTGCAGAACACCTGCCTCCAACACATTCTTATGAGGAGCCAAGTTCTAGTAGGTTCAGGCCTAGGCTTTCCTTCAAGAACAGTCAGATCCCAAAGTATCTTTGGAAATTAAGTGGTGTTAAATTTTAAGTGAATTTGGATAGTTACTGACATCTTTGTAACAGCCTTTTTAAAAGTAAGATTATCAAAACCTAAGTTGTCCTTTTTTTTTTTTAAGTATTTATCTTAGCAGACCAGCAGTCCCTCTGACAAAATACTGGGTTTCTCTTGGGGGGTGCTCAGTCAGCGTCACCTCAGCACCAGCAGTGAAGAAAGTCAAGATGTATCGCAAATGGGAAATGTTGGCCTGTTCATTTAAAGCTTATTGAAATAATGTCTTTTGTCTCTTCATCTTTTCCATATTTTTCTCCTCTAACTTTCCCCTCCAGTCCCTCCTCCCTACAATTTGCTGCTTACTGCTGGTGGCAAGGTTAGTATTTGTGTGAGTTCCGTTCTCATCAGGACAACCACTTCTCGAGCTGTGATGATGAAGATAATACTGTCTCTATTCCTTATTCTTATTCCCTTCAATGAAGTTCCTTTGTGTCAAATGCAGTTTTGCTAAACCCTTAAAATAGCACTTTCTCTCAGATGAGATGACACAATCATTAATATTCTGGTAACTTAAACAATTGAGATAGTAAAAATGTTTAACAAACTAGGATGATTTTTTTGTCTTTGCCAATATCCCTGTAAACCTTATGTTATCAAACAAGTGTATAATATTATTATATTATTTATTTTTATTTTCTATACCATTTCAAAACACATTGCATAAAGAGGGAACCATAATATTTTCATAAGGGCAATGGATTTAGGAGTTTGTAAAAAAAATTTTTTATGACGCATATGCCAGCATGCCTATGATTTTTTTCCTTCCTAGATTTGTCACTGGGTCAGCAGCTGTAGAACTTGTGAGCCCTCTGCTGGCTGTAGACCAAAGTAGTATAAATAGGATTAAGTTTTGTATAGTGGCTGGCAACCATTGCATACAATCTTAAAACCAATGGAAGGTATAGTACGGAAAGTCTAAGTGACTTTCCCAATAACACTGACTTATGAGAGTCATGGAGTTTCACCTGGTCCTTCAGAATGACATGGTTGCCTTGATTCTCCCTGGATATTTACTTTGTTAAATGAGTAGGGTATTTTAGTGTCTGGTTTGGATGGTAGCACTTTCTGTCATATTGTCGTGTGCAGTGATGAGAAATGTGTTCTGCTGGCCAAAGCTCCTTTCAGCAGTGCCTTGCCATCACACTTAAAAGTTTGGCTAGAATATCTTGCTGGTTAAGGCCTTGAACTCTAGCAAGGATTGAACCATGTAACTTCCAAATTTGCCTTCCTCTCTGGACCTCACATTAACAGGCAAACCTTCCAAGGCCTATCAGCTCTCCGAGGCTGTGGGCTTTCCCAGATTTTAAAGCTGCTGCCTCAGGAACTACTCATTTCTCCTGGTCAGCAGACAGAAATAGCCATACTAACCTTATAGGGCTCAAATGCATCTTCAGGCAGCACGGAACCGAGCAGCGTGGCAGAGGCCTCCCTTCCCTGGGGGAGGAACTTGCCCATGGTGGGCAGTGTCCCAGGAGAGGCCACATCTCTGATCACTTACTGACACATTTCAGTTCCATTTCTGTCTTGTTTAAACTGCCTCCTTAGATGTGGATGCCTTAATGCTCTCACACATTTGAAAACATTTGCAATACCTAAGTGGCTGCCATGATCACAGATGGAAGTATTGGCTACCAAAGATGCAATTGATGATGAAAAGTATAGTCCTTCCTTCCCCATAACCAAAGTTAATCTTAGTTGCAATTTGACTCCCTTTCCTTGGTAGGAATAGACTTTCTTCAGATTCCACATAAGTGGCAAATTAAGTTGAAAAAATACTACTGATCCATTCCCGTCACTTGTTCTCCAGTGAATTGCTTCTCAGGCCCTCGTTCTCCAGAGCAGCAATGTTCCAGGTCTGGTGGCTTCCTGTGCACACTAGGGCCGATTTCTTTTCTTTAGGCAAAGGTTCTTCACTGGAGTGTAGTGTTAGAAATGGTACCGTCTACAGAGGCTGTGTTCTCTCTTCCCACCCCACCCCACATCACCTTTTTTTTTCCCTGTTCAAATCATCTGAGTCAGCCCTGTTCCTGTATTTTGAATCATCTTTAGAAAAAAGAGAGAGGTGGCCATTTTGAGTGGTCAGTTCTTTGTAAAAAGGAGAAAATGTAATTGCATTTTTTTACCGGCCTACTATGAAGTGTCACTGCCTGTTTTTTTCTCCTTTTCAAGGAAGAGGACACAGCAGCATTGAGTGTATTAAGCTCCTTAGACACATGGTAGCTAGTACTAAGCATGGGAACTGTATGTCAACAGCACAAGACCCCAAAGAATGTTCTTGCATATCGGGCCCCAGGACCCCTTGACCAGATTCATCCAAAACTGCTGAACCCTCTGTGGGTGTCCTGCAGGGGAATTTCTGCTCAATACAGAATGGTTCGCATCACCCAGAGAGCACTGTTGGAGATGCCATGAAATAAAACCACTGATGTGGCCCCTTCGTACCTGAGACATCTAGATTCACCTCCGGAGACCCGAGGGAAATTTGTGACTTGTAGGAAAGGACAAAACAGCCATTAGGGATATGCTCAGATACGCTCAGCCTAACATAAGGAGCTCGGCTTTGATCTTTTTTCTGATAGCATCTTCTAGCAAGTTGGGAGACTCATGAGATACACTGCAGTTCCCCTGGTGCAGTGGCCTGAACAGTGATTTTAAATGTCCCATTTTCTGGGTCCTTTGTAAACATGAAATCATTCCATGTATGGCTGCCTTATAATTTTGTCTCTTTCCACTTTAATTGTGAATGGTTAAAAAATTTTTTTGCTGTTTTCTGATATTAAAATTTTATTAGTGCATACCTTATGTGAGTAGCTCATTAATTATCCAGTTTGTTTTTTCTGTTTGATGACCAGACTTGACCCACATTTGAACAGCAGAAAAGGTAATGAAGAGCTTTGAAGGGCAGAGGAAAGATGAACCCACTGAGTGCACGTCCTTTAGAGAAGGAGGGAAGGAAAGGGGGAGGGGACACTAAGGATTCCATACACCATCTCCCCCCAAACATACCAATTCATTGGCAGTTTCCTTTTTTTTTTTTTTTTTTTGGCTTTGCTATTGTTGTTAGCAAATATTATTTATGAAGGTAGTTATCTACTCCCAGAAAGGAGAAGCAGGCAACAGGTCCCAATCACAGGGATTCATTTCAAAGGGAGGGTAAAGCTATGCTCTCTGAGGACATGGGGGCTGTGGACAATTGACCCTGTGAACAGAGGTTTATTTAGAAGTGCAATCTGTAAACTTGATATTTTCTTTCTCTGTGGACTTTAGTACTGAAGCTCATTTTTTAACTCATATACAGATAAGCATTTTTTTTACAGCAATGTCTCTCTTAAATATGCAGTTTGTATGTTTAGTCATTAGATTCCATTATTTATTACTGGTTCACTTTGTACTGGTTTTCTTTATATATCATGTGTGCTACAGTAAGTTACAAAGATTGTGCCCAGAGGTACATGTTTTCTGAAACCTCTCCTCATGAATAGGCGAAAAGGACATGCACTATGATTGCTGCCACCTCTTACAGAAGCCTTTGGGGAAAGTGCCTACATACCTCCTGTGCCTTTGAAATCTTAGAGAGCCAGCATTACTAAGCAAAGGCCCTTTTGTCCTGCTGCCTTGAGGTCAAAATGTAAATATAGGCCCTAGCTGGTTTGGCTCAGTGGATAGAGCATTGGCCTGTGGACTGAAGGGTCCTGGGTTCAATCCCCAGTAGGGGGTGTGCAGGAGGCAGCCAATCAATGATTCTCATCATTGATGTTTCTATCTCACTCTTCCTTTCCCTTCCTCTCTGAAATAAATAAAAATATTTTTTAAAAATGTATATACAGTGTACAGGTTTAGCCCAAACAGCCAGCAATCCTTACTCTGTTTGGTTCCATTTCTAATCCTAAGCTAGAGCCGACTTAACAGTGTGGTTTTTATAATGTAAGTAATAAGCGACCTTGTGTCTTGTCCCTGTGTCTAGAATGCCCTTCCCGTAGATCCCTCTGCTCCTTTAGGTCTGGATCCAAAGTCTTCCATTAGGCTCCCTGTGACTGCCTTTTTATAAATTGTCATCTGCTCCACCCCCACCCCAATGCGCCTCACCCTGTTCTATTTGTGTTTCTATAGCACTAATGGCCTTTTAATCTGCTTTATAATAAGTCTTAGTCCCTCTATCTTGATAAAATATGAGCTCCTGGAAGCTATTCTCAAAAATGTATGTTGCCCTAGCTGGTTTGGCTCCGTAGATAGAGCATCCCAGGTTCGATTTCAGCCCCTCCAGTGTGGGGCATGCAGGAGGCAGCCAATCATTGATTCTCATCATTGATGTTTCTATCTCTCCCTCTCCTTTCCTCTCTGAAATCAATAAAAAAATACATATTTTAAAAAAGTATGTTAACTGAATTGGTCTGCCCTGAGGGGGCACTTTTTTTCTAATCTATGCTCCCACACTCCACCAGCTGCTGCACTGATTCCCGGCAGAACCAGCTGCTGGCATTAGTGGTAGCTCCGCCTTTGTCTCACACAGTCAGGGCTGCTTGCGTATTAGCAAGGAGGTTGGGAGTCAGAAAACAAATTGGACTGAGTGTACAGGTGGGTTCCGATTACTAATACAGTTCTAACTAACTTTAGTAAAGTACTGTGTGACCGATTTAGGGTCCAGGAAATCTGGATCCCATTCTTGGCTCAGCTACTGATTTCCGTTGCAGTGTTAGCCATTGCTCAGTTTTATAAATATTGCATAGGAATGTGAGTGGAAGCATATGTCCCATTCTGGTTGCCTCATTTATAGAGGGATTCTGATATTCAGGAGTCACCAGAGAAGGAAGCCCAGTGGGAGGGGATGGAAACCAGGACCCTGAGGAGGCCTGGAAGGAACTGGAAGGCTCTTGGGGGGCAGAATTTGATAGCCCTCATCAGATACTCAATGGCTGTCAGGTACAAGAGAGCATGGATCCTATATTTGCCAGAGGATAAAATGTGAAGTACACTGAGCCCCATCTCTCCTCCACTTACTATTGTTCACCTCTTAGTTAATTGAGCCCTTCCTATGGAACAGGCACTCCTACAAGGAGTGGGGATTAGTGCCAGTCCTTAAAGAGCTTGTGGTTCTTGAGGGATTCAAACAAGAGAACACAGTTGCCAATAAGTAAGCACTGGAGACAAGGAAGCATAGGGTGCTCAGAGAACATGTGGGGGCAAGAAACCCAGAGTGGGTCTTCAGGGAGATCATCCAGAGGGAGATGAGACCAGAGCTAAATTCAAAGGCTGAGTAGAATGAAGAAGATAGGAAGGGTTCTCTGACCAAGAGGACTCATGTGGGCCGAGGCCTGGTGGCACAAGAATGTGGATTCTGCGTAAAAATGCCTATGGCTGAGGGAGAGGGGAGGCAACAGTGGTGTGCAAGATTTGTCGGTTCCCTGGATGCTGTCTAAGTTTCCAGATTTAAAATTGCAGACGGACAGAGAATTGGGCCTAACAAGGGTCTTTGTAATTCCTGACTCAACCCCAACTGGATCCCCTTCTCAAGTGTAGTCTTGGCTGACCTCTGAGGTCCTGTTACCACATGGATGACGCATGGACATGGTAGGTCAGTTTCCAGATCCTTGTACCAGTGGCTCCTCTGGCACCTCAAGGTGGAGATGAGTGACTTTATCCTTATCCCTGCTTATCTCCCCCACTTCATGGCTGGGGCCCAAGGACTCCCTTGATTCTACTTCTGAACATCTGTGTTGCAGTTGGTATACAGAGGCTCAGCCTTGGCCTGGGCGGGATGCCCACTTTCCCCTTCTATCCTTTGCTTCTCCCTGTATCCTCTGGTCTCCTTTATTTAGGGGACATGCTCTCCTTTGACCCTCCACCCCCTTAATCCTTTGGCCTACTGGCTTCAAATCTGCATATGACGTCCTCTACCTCACCTCCTCTCCCTCTCAGGGTCCCCTGGGCACAGCCAGGCTCTGCAACAGTTAAAGGAGCCTAAGACCTACCCCTGGCCTTGGGAAATGCAGCCATTTGAACATGGTGGCTTCTCAGAATATTAGATCCAGTGTGGCTGGAGCAGATAGGGAGCAACAGGGGAGAGCCCCAGCAATAGGTCAGGACCAGATTGTAGAGGGTGTGGCAGTCAAAGGTCAGTAGTTGGGCGCTGGAGTCAAGGAATGGAGGACCAGCAAAAGGTTTTAAGTCGGAAGTTCGCATCATCTTTGGATCTTGAAAAGATCACGAGTGATGGTGGGGAGCGAGGATTTCTTGGTGGATCCTGCTGTAGATAGATGGGAGAGGCATTTGGAAAGCAGAAGAGGATGATGTGAAGCAAGCTGGAAGGCTCAGACAAGTCCAGTGATTGTCTTGAGTTCACACAGTTAATGGCAGAGCCTGGACTTAAACCCATCTTAGCATGAAAAGCAGGTGACAAGTCAGCCGTCTAAAGATTGCTTTCACGTAAGTTCTCAGCCACCTCGATTCTGTTTTATAGACGGGGGAAACTGAGGGCCTGAGAGGGCAGTCGCCATTGGTTGGCAAACAAACGGGCCAAGTAAAGACGGTTTGGTTAAGCAAGTAAAGACAGTTTGGTTAAGCATTTGTTGAGTGTCTACTACATGCCCTGGACTCTGTCCTCAAGGAGCTCAATCTGGAAAGGACATAAACCAGTGGTTCTCAACCTTGGCTGCACATTAGAATCACCTGGGAATCTTTTTAAAATCCTGATTTCTGGGCCTCATCCTCCGAAAATTCTGTTTCTTTGTTACTAATGTAGCCGGAACCAATAATAAAGAGACAGAAGGGGAAGGGGAAGACTCTCCCATATCATTTTTTTTGGAGGGCCCCCCGCCGATTTTAACCTTTATCACGGCCCCCGCGCGTGCGGGGGGGGCGAGAGAGCCGCGCTTTTGACGCGATTAGTATGTGTGTTGTTAAATAACAAAATATTCCCCATCGATAAAAGCACTTTCTATGTGTATGAGTGGAGTAGTAATGTACCGTCCGACCTGTATTGGTGTGGTGCTTTCAGAGAGAAACCTCCGCACTATAGAAGTCACTACCACCCTGCGAGAGAGAGAAAAAAAAGTACGAAAGGAGCAGATTACTGGGTGCCCGCACACGAATTTCTCACACGCTGATGTACCACTCAGGGTGTGTAGGAGAGGAGAAAGTAAGAAATAGCTATACATTCTGGGATAGTGATTGCAACAAAATTGGATTGTTGAGTAGACCAAGACTCCGTCTGGAGTGAAACGAGATTGAAGGAAAGGTTGAACGACGTTGTATGATAGTTGTGCAGAGGAAATTTTGACCCACGGAAGACCACCTCCCCCCTCAGAAGA